GGGGGCAATATTTTCACGAAACGTTTGCTACTTTGCTCATCACCATAACAAATTCAGCAATCTAACTCGGGCCACCTAAATATTATATTTTATTATACGGCAAGCATTTGTTTTGATGAATCGCGCAATTTGATTGGCTGCTGACGAGGCAGGATTTTCTCGTATTGCCCACGAGCAATACGCAATTTTTATTGCCCTGCGACGAAAGCCGAGTTTCAAACGGCAAAAAGTGTCTAAAAGTCTTTCAAACTATTCAAAACGAAGATAAATGTATTTTTTGATATATTAGTATTTTTTGATATATTAGCATGTATTTTTTGATATATTAGTATATATAGGTCTTCTAATAAACTCATGTGAATACGTATTTAAGCCCCGTTTACACTACGCTCAATTTTTGGTACGGCACGGATAAAATTGGTACCCGTACCACTTTTTTGGTTCTTGGACTACCTATTTAGGTAGTCCAAGAACCAAAAAGTGGTACGGTACCAAAAATTGAGCGTAGTGTAAACGGGGCTTAGCTAAATATGTAATCCAAGAACAAAAAAAGTGGTACGGGTACCAATTTTATCCGTGCCGTACCAAAAATTGAGCGTAGTGTAAACGGGGCTTTAATCTTCATTTTACGATAATTGTAATTATTTCTGAAAAGCCATTTTGGAGAAATAAATTAATAATAATAATAATAATAATAATGTTAATAGAACATTTATAGATATATACAATTGTAAATCTCACTTCTTGAGGTAACCTACAATTGACTACTTGAATCACTTCTACATGCATGGTTATAATTTTATATACAAAAATTGTTGATTATTTATAGAAATAGTTACTTTAAATGTTCATTAGTTCGGGATTAGTCCATTCTTTATTTCTACAGCAAAATATGTAGTACGTTGATCGGATGGCAATAGATATAATTTTTCTGATACAATATTGTTGGTGTTGATTACCCAGTCCTAACTCATTTAGCATTTTTACGAATGTATGACATTCTTTGTCAAACACACCTAGCGAACTGACAGAAAGATTTATAAATTTAACAGATGTAAAGTTTTGATCCAGTTCTCTAATTAGGTTTTTATATTTAGCTTTCTTGCGGTTAACATTGTTTGTGAGGTTTGATTCAAAGCCTACGGTAAGTTCAACAACGTAGAGGTGTTTGTCTGAAGTGGAGACAAGTAAATCAGGACGATATTCATCTCCCGTAATAATCGAGAGGCTTTCAAATCCAGGAAGATCAACATGTAATTTGCATTCGTTTAAACTTTGAAAAGTTTTTGCAAGAAAGTTTAGTATGCAATCGTGTCTCCAAGTAAATCGTTCCAAGTAATATTGACAACCGGCAACAACGTGTAGAAGTGATTCAGGGTGTAAGCAGAACGAGCAGTCAGAACTTGATGAAATTCCCCATCTACTGAGGTTCTTTCGGGTAGGAAGGGTATTATTTATATAGCGAATTGTAAAGTTGAAAATGTTCTTTGGTAGCTTTGATTGCGATAACGACCAGATTGCATTAAGTTGTGATAGGGAGAATTTAGAAACATTTTCGAAAAAGGAACCTTGACATTTCAAACGGTTCCTAAGTTTATTTCCTTGTTGAGAATGGAAAGTTTTTAAAACTTCTTTAGTTGAGTTGTAGCTATCGTAGTGATTGTTAGTATGATTATTAGTTGACTTCCACAGTTCGTTTATTGAATCGTTTGGAGATGTTTTTAGGGCATTGCGTAGAACTGTTTGACACTGAATGAATTTGACTGATGCAGGGATTATTATTATTATTATTATTATTATTTATTCTTTGCCTACTAGGAAAAACCTAGTTAAATGGGGACTGTCATCATCTGCTGACTGTTCGTTCTGCTTCTGCCCTGAATCGCTTTTGCACATAATCTCTGGATGTAAGACATATCTAAACGAAGGGAGATATACATGGCGACATGATTCAGTTTTGAATCTCATTGCGTCCAGCCTTCTCGACGTCGGAAGGTCCAAAATGTATGTAGATCTGCCTGGATTTATTAGCCCATCTGTCATCACTGGTGACGAGTAATTACGACCAGACCTTCTATTGACAATTGAAAATAAGATTTTGTACATTCTTGAATTAACTGTTGGATTCGAAACAAACCTGAAAACCAACTCAGATCGAAAACATGAAAAATATTTGACTCTAATTACCGATCAAGAAAATATATATGATGAAGTTAAGTTTGTTAATGTATCTATAAGCTCTTTAGGTGTATTTGGTGAATCGACGAATACTTTATTTGATATGCTCCATGATCTGAAGTACGACGAACAATGTATTAAATATGTAAAAAAGAAAATAATTGCTACTTGTATTCGCACGTCGTATTATATATTCTGTAGACGAAACAAAGACTGGAACAACCCAGAACTTTTAAACTTTGAACTAAATTTAAAAGATTTTTACATGTATATATATTTTAGCTTTAAACTCAATTCAAGTGGACATCGATAAGCTACCTTTTATTAAGTGAGGTTTATCAATGTATATATAGTATATCGTAAATATCTAATAAAAAGTTTCCATTATTATTATTATTATTATTATTATTATTATTATTATTATTATTATTATTATTATTATTATTATTAATAATAATAATAATAATAATAATAATAATAATAATAATAATAATAATAATAATAATAATAATAATAATAACAATAATAATAATAATAATAATAATAATAATAATAATAATAATTTTTTTTTTTAAACAACAGAAATCTTTATTAATAACATGATAATTTATACAAATATATCACATAATTAGACTTTCAATTAAATCAGGAAAATAGAGAAACAGTTCACTATGTTAGACAGATAGGTCCATTCTCTACACTTTGTATCAATAGTAGCTAATAAAAATTCAGTAAGTCTGGATTATTCCACGGCTTGTTTCTTCTGCAGTAAATGTAGAATGTTGCTCTCAGAGCTACCTCCATACATTTTTTAATAATACGTTCGTCGTTCATTTCAAGTGTTCGTAATAATCTACGAAATCTGTCAATATCTTTCGACACAAACCCTAGAGTGGTTACTTCAAGTGTAATAACTTCAAACGCATAACACGCCGTGATCAGCTCAGATCTTAGATGTCTGTATCTTTCTTTCTTGCGACGTTTAGCCTTCGTACAATTGGTTTCGTAGGGAACAGTTAATTCAACCACATATACAGAACCCTTAAAATCCACCACTATATCAGGTCTTAGCGTTCGAAATAAAGTTGAAGTACAGGTCGTACCTGAATTAGGACAGTCAGCAAACAGTCGAAGATCTGCACCAACTGCGACTTTTAAGTGATGAATAATAGTCATCAGAATCGAGTCATGCCGCCAAGTATAGCGTTGTTGTTCTAGGGCTACCTTGCAGTTGGAAAAAACGTGTAGCTGGGTTTGTAACTTGTTGCACAGCTCACAGTTGGCGGAGTCACGAATGTTCCAGCGCTTTAGGTTAGAATTATTTCCTAAACTTAAAATTAACGCTCTCCTAGCAAAGCATACTATATTGCTGGGCATTCGAGTGACAATTTCGTGCCATACTTTAATCATCTTCTTATAGCAAGTATCAGTTAAGCAGGTAATGATCACGGATTGTTCTTTTAGTTCTACAAAGTTTGACCAAATTTCGTTAAGGTTTTTCTTTACCAGAATCTTCTTTGCAGCGTTTCTTAACATATATTGTTCAGAGATACTGGCAGCCGCCCGTTCAATAATATCATCAGTGACGATGTTTTTTGATGACGTTTTGGTATATAGCTGTTGAATATCGGAGTTGACAGAAGTCCTCAAGATTCTGCGCACTGTCAGTTTACATTGATTATATATGTCAGAGGGGGAACAGAAATCAATTCCCAGTTGTAATTTAGGAAGCTTTAGATGACTAATGTTACCGCTGATTGGGATCTGGAGCCATTTCCGGATATATTTGGAAATTATGGAGTCCAGATTAGAATGTATCCAGCTTATAGTAAGCGAGTAGATTGAAAAACGCCAGAAGAACTTTGAGTAGACATAACTTTGAACCACGCGTATTTTCGAAAATGGATTTATTGGGATAAGATCAATTTTCTTTAAGTAGTGTTGGATTTCATCAAGGATCTCAATTTTGGTTTCAGTACAATCCATTTCAAAATTGAATTGTTTACCTAAATACATAAAACTTTCACCGTCCTCGATTGGGGGAACCTGTTGACCAGAGATTTTTATAGTAGGTTTATACTGGACTGCTTTTGTCCCAAACTTTTTGATCCCAAAAGTGTGGCACTTATTTACTCGGATATATAAGTCTGCCCAAGAGGACCATTTACTAAATGCATTACACAGTAGTTGATTGTCTTCGTTATGTGCAGATATAATTGCAGCATCGTCCGCGAATTGGAACCAATGACGAGGGTTTAAGGATATATCATTAACATAACCAAGACACTGTATCCTTTCATCATTTATCGTGTTAATGAGTGAATTCACGCATAAATTGAAAAGCAAGGGGGACAAACAGTCTCCCTGCAGTACGCCCCGTTCTACAGATATCGGTATGGTTATAAAATTCTTCGTCAAGATTGAGATACCATAATCAGTGTAAAGGTTTTCTATCATACCAGTGATTTCGTCAGGAATGTGGTAACTTTTTAAAATAGATTTTATCAGGTTATGGTGCACTTCTCCAAATGCGTAATAATAATAATAATAATAATAATAATAATAATAATAATGGAAACTTAATGTCATCCTATACATTAAAATACATATAAATTTAATAGTATATATAACCTGAATAAAACTAACTCATGTGTTTCTCTCCAATGTAAACATAGGGCAGTCCACAGAGATTACAGACATCGCTATAATAGTAGGTACTTAGGATTAATAGAACTTTAAAATAGGCGGAGATGTCCATTGTTTGTTGCGACGTACATATATATAAAATGAGGCACGCATAGCTACTTCCATACACTTTTCAATCATTCTCTTATAATTAATGTTTGTTTTTTAAAAACACTGTATAAATCATCTATATGTTTTGTTACTAGTCCAAGTGTCGTAAATTCAACGAAAATCTTTCTCCAGTGTCGAAACCTTTTCTTGCAATCATTTTGAATATCCCCATATTTGTTGATCTTTAGGTTCCTGCTCTTTTCAGAGTTTGTTTCAAAGCAGCACGTCAATTCCAAGATGAAGATTCTGTCATCTTTTATTAATACAATGTCCGGACGCATTGAATGGAAGAGTTCGTTAGGATTGTCGAAATTGTCAAGATCAGCATAGATTCGAAATCCGTATTCCTTTAGTTGAGATATATAGTGAAGCAAAGTGTAAAGGATTGAATCATGTCGCCAAGTGTATCGACCTTCATCTGCCGAAACCGGGCAGGCAGAGAGCATGTGGAGTTGTGTTTGTTTGTTTGAGTAGCACAATTCACACAATGGGTTATCTCTTTTCCCCCATCGACACAGATTTGAATTATTCGGCAGGGAATGTATCAAGGCTCGTCTCACAAACACGAATATATTCTTTGGCATTTGGCGGCAGATGTTGTCCCACATCGTTATGTGCTTAGGTGATGCTACCTGTCTAACGTGTTTCATTATCGTATTCTGTTCCTTAAGGGTCGAGAGGTGTTCCACCACGGTATTTTCGATTTGTTGCTTAAGAGCTGACCTAGGGTTGTCATTATTATAAATCAAGCAATCAGTTTGCACATTATTAAACTTGGTAAGATTGAACAGGCATCTGATATCATTGTTGATGGATTTAGAAAGAATTTTTCTAATAGACAGCTTACAGTATCTGTGAACATCAGAAGCCAGTTGGAGACCGACACCAAATTTGCTGCTAGCTAACTTCAGATGCGTCAGGTTTGCACCTTTATGGAAGTGTAGCCAACGCTTTACATAAGAGATGAACTTGTCATCTAAGTGCTGTTCCACCCAGCTTTGTGAAAGCCTGTAGATTGATAAACGCCATCGCAGTTTACTGTAGACGTACTTCGTGATAATCAGAATTTTATTTCTAGGGTGCAAAGGAAGCCTGTTAATTTTCTCTAAATATTCCAAAAGATCATATTCTAGTTCCTGTTCGATTACGACCATGTCCATTTTATAATTGAATTGCTTTCCTAGATATTGGAATGATTCGGAATGAATATAGATATTGGAATGAATCTCAACCTGAGGAATCATCTGATTATTTACTTTGAGATAAGGCTTAAACTGCGTAGCCTTTTTCCCGTTGTGCTTGATTCCAAATCTAGAGCATTTATTAACTCTAACTTGGAAGCCTGCCCAGCGGCACCATTTAGTGAATACGTCGAGGAGAGCTTGGTTATCTTCTTCGGATGTTGTAACTAGTGCAGTATCGTCTGCGAACTGGAACCAGTGTCTGGGGCCTAGGTATTCACAATATGAATAGCCAATACATTGTACACGTTCATCTTCTATACACTTGATGAGGGTATTAACGCACATATTAAATAAAAGGGTAGAAAGGCAGTCACCCTGAAGAACTCCTTTGCCAACTAAGATTGGGTTTGTAATAAAGCTCTCTGTGCCTACTGAGATGGTGTAGTTGTCATACAGGTTTTGGATAAGCTCTATTACGGAGGTCGGAGCATGGTGGTGTTCTAATACAGTTGTAAGGAGTTGATGATCAACTTCCCCAAACGCGTTCTTTAAATCGAGTAGGGTGACTATCAAATGCCTTTTATTGTTGCGCGCATGGTTTATAATGTGAGTTAACAGTTCGGTGTGCTCTATCCTGCCGGACACCTCTTCCCAGAAACCTTTTTGAATTTTGGTTTCTATATATTTGTTATGCATCATAAATGAGTAGATTCTATTACGAATTATTGATGTAAACACTTTGCCAAAAACCGGCTGGAGTGTAATCGGTCGAAAGTTTGAAGGATCTTGTGGGGAATCTTTCTTATAAATTAAGATTGTAAAGCCATGCTTCCAGATTCTAGGAACAACATTTCCCTCCCAGCAGTATACTATAATACGGTGTAATGTAGTTCGGAGGAACGGACATCGTTTAATAATAATTATACTGATTTGGTCGAATGGGCAAGCAGAGGATCCGGGCTTCATTTTCTTAATTATGTTTGAAATCTCACGGTAAGAAAGAGCCGCTGTATTGAAATGTTCTGTTGGTCCATCGAATTTTTTCATCCACTGGCATGGGGAATTTCAACATTTCCCTTCCCACTATTAGCCTTCAAGTGAACACGGAAAAAGTTTGTGCAAGTTTCCTTACCAAAGTCTGGGAGGGTTGTGTTTTCATCCTCAAAGATTTCCTTACAATACTTCCAGAAATTTTCTTGGATGCGTTCATCATGTTTTTTTTCAGATAGTATACGGTGAGTCCTTTTGCTATATTTCACTCGCAATAGTTTACTAATATAACGGATCTCTTGCGTTGCCTCGTTACACTGAAGTTTCTTTAGCTCGCTTAAATGGTATTTAAGTTGCCGACGAGAAAGATGGTTGTACTTTTGTTGAAATATTGACCATTCGCTTATGCTGTGACAGTGTCATCCTCGTTGTTATAAGTTCCAAAGTTTGACTTGAAATATGTATAAATCATGTCCTGCAGTGAGCTAATTTCAGTATCAATATCAGTTATTTCGTTACTGGTATTCAAATTTGCTCTAAAATATTCATTAGCATTATCCCAATCAGTCGGTGTTTTTGGTAACTTTATTCCTGATTTAACGGGTATTCTCTGAAATGAATTATCTAGACATTGCGTCTCTTCATTCTCAACTGAATGTACTCTGCTTGCTTGCCCTGATGGTATCGGTGGATCAGAATCTTCTGCAAACAGTAGGTTTAAATCAAGATTTCCATTAATGGGACAGTGTCTACGATGCGCTTGAAGGCCTTTAAAACTTTTGCATTTTTTACCACAATGGCATTCGGCATGTAGCAGATCGTGATCGACGGTTTCTAGCTCATGATTATTTGCAAAAGCCTCTAAATAATTATGATCGTGTTCGTTATTTAAGTTAACAGATGATAGTTCGGGAAGGACAGCGCTGTTCGATTGTTCTTGGCTAGTATCAAAGGTGGTTCTAGGCGAAGCAGTGAATGCATCACTGGTCACGCGTGCTTTACAGCGTCAAACATGTCGACCTAAAGGCCCTGTCACACTATTGCGTATGAGAGAAACGTATGAGAAGCGTACGAAAATCAATGAAATAATTTTCATACGCACAAAAATCCTTTGAAATGCCAGCGTATGAGTACCGTACATCTGGCGTACCTCTAGCGTATTCAGCATGTGCCTAGAGCATGGTTATCGTATAAAGCATACGTCCGATACGCACAAAATTTTTGAACATGCTTAAAAAAAAGTTTCTGCCTCGCCGTATGCCAGCGTATGCGACCGTGCTTGAAACGTATACAACCTATGCGTAACGTACCCCTAGCGTATGTCAGCGTACACCGGCGTATGAGTGATATTTTTCATACGCTGGCATACGCTAGTACGATACGCAATAGTGTGACAGGGCCTTAAAGCCGGTTTTCCACTAGGCGGAATTTTGCGCGCGGAGCGGAATCTTTCTTTGTCTTTTTTAATTAGTTCCACCCGAGAAATCACAAAACAAAGAAAAATTCCGCTCCGCGCGCAAAATTCCGCCTAGTGGAAAACCGGCTTAAGGCAACAAAATCTTTACCACAGTAACTACACACAGTACCTTCTGTTTGAGTAATCATCGACAGAAAGAGCAAACCAAACAGCCAGCACACATTAAATCCCAAATAATAATAATAATAATAATAATAATAATAATAATAATAATAATAATAATAATAATAATAATAATAATAATAATAATAATAATAATAATAATAAATAGACCTAAAATAGAGAAAGGGGCAACTGCTGTGGTTAAAGAACTTCCTCAATACTTTTTGTTAGTTAGTGAAAGTCGAATTTACAAGGTAAATTTTACAATGTGTTTAAGTATTTAAGCGATAAAGAATAGTTGTGTTTTGACTATGTGAAGAGCTGCAAATGTTATTTAATGCAGATGGCCAGGAGGAATCTGACACCATCGATCTAAATACAACTAAAGCAGCCACAGATTTATAATTTTTCTTAGATAAAAAGAGACATACTGTCGAAACAATCTGCGACGACGTTTGACAGGGATTGTCAGGGAGTATTGACTAAATAATATTTTGATTATGCGAATTGTAATTTTCTTGTGAACAATGGGAACCGCGGAAGAATTTGTGTACGGACCCGAGTTCATTGGGTCTCGTGTGACTAGTCTCACTGTGCGAAATTTTCGATTATTCTTCTTAAGTTAGATGCAAGCGCTCCTCTTTGCAATTGCTTCGTGCGAGTCTAAATTCCAATCCAACTCAAGCCTGGTTCACATTGATCGTAAACATCGGCGATAGATCGTTGTCGGTGGTCATTGATGCATAAAATGTTTTGTGCATCTTCTTCGTTGCTCACAGACAATGGATCGTAGAACATCGCCGATCAATGTGAACCAGGCTTAAAAGCTTCAATTAAACCAAGGGAGCACGCCAGAAATATTTGTGTAAATTTATACTAACCTTTTAATTACATGTAAATGTTTTCAATTTTCATCGGGCGCCATTTTAATGTTGAAAGCGGTATATATTATTAGCTTATCGCAGGCGCAATAATTTATGTTCATCTTTGACATTAATTTATGTTACACGATGATACTCCGAAGGGCGACCGAGAAAGATCCGAAATTTAAAATACGGCGGAGAAATAATAAAAAATAAAGAGGGGAGTGAAACGGCCGAACACGTGATGGGGTATTGGCCAATGACAATGCGTATATCCAATTTCGTTATCTGGCCCATGCTCCTTGACCAAGAACTGTCGAATCTGAAATATATCAAAACTTGAATTGATTTGCATCCTTGCTCGCCAGCAGTGAATTTTCGACAGCGGGAAACAAAAACATTTGCGAATGCTGGACACAAAATACAGTATTAATAATTCATGAAGGAAATTCAAAAGAAATGAATGTTTAATCAATGTATGTAAATCGATCGGATAAAAGATTTGTAAATTGTCCTCATTTACATAAACTTCAGCTTCGATTTTCTCGGCTTAGACAATGTTTATTTTTAAAATTACTTCGCCAATGAACTCATATGATGGGTCGTCTTTTAAGCACGTTAAAACACGAGAAGCCGATGTTTATCTGATATACAAACTCTCACCATTGTCCCCAATTTTAATAATATATTTTAATGTGACTCGCTTGAACTAATTATAGTAGGTCAAATATAAAACAACGGTAAATCCGAAAATAATAAAAAAAAAATTATTTTCGGAGTTACCGTTGTTCTATATTTAATATATTAAAATATTCAATGGTTCCCGTAATAGTAGGTCTCATTTTGTTTCCGGTTTGTTCCTAGCAACATCAAATGTTCCTAGCAACAGTCAACCAGCATCAGTGGATAATAGTTCGGCCGTTTCATAACCTGAAGTTCAGGCCCTAATTTGAAATAGGGCCTGACACAAAACCTGTCTAGACCGTGGGACGCCCACATATTATTTTTAGACACAACATGCAATATGATTGACAAGTGTTGTAGATTTCGTCACAAAAAAATTATATTCTCATGAACATGTCCGCAGAGTGTGCATTTTGCTTTTTAATTAAACTTAAAAATTCAAGGTACTTTTATATAATTAAGAGTCAGTTTCTCTATTTAATCGAACAGCAAACAAAGATTTAAAGGCACAGTTCAGCCTTTTGAACGATGGTTTTTAGGGCGCATTTCAGCCCTTTTAATTGAAAAACTAACTAGGAAAATCAATTAAGCATAATTCAAGATCAGTAAACTTAATGTTTTTAACATTTTTGTTGTTAAAAACATTGAGTTTACTGATCTTGAATTGTGTATAATTGATTTTCCTAGTTATTTTTTTCAATTAAAAGGGCTGAAATGCGCCTTAAAAACCATCGTTCAAAAGGCTGAACTGTGCCTTTAATTAGTCAGTTCTGTGCACGGCTTGACTGCCAAGCTTTCTCAAGGTCTCAACTTCCTGGACGCGGATATACTCTAACGGGCTAACAACAGCAACAATGAAATTCTCAATCGTACCACGAAGAAGGCGATGTAGCTCAGAAAACAACGCCGGTAGGACCTGAAATTAAAAATAAGACTTTTGCCGGCGAAGCAGTTGGCAGAACATCTTGGCTGTCAACAACAAGCTTTCGTATACATGACTGAGTTTCAATTGGCTGTTCTTTCAGCGTCGTGTGTCCAAAATTCGTCAAAGATTTTGATGAAGCCATTTCAAAATACTGTTTGTTTGATTTATTTCCTGCCATAAAGCATAAAAGAAAAGAAATTCGAAGAAATCGATAATGGAATTTGTTACGTGCGTTTGACCTTTATATTAATTATCGCCCTTGACCGAGCTATTTTTAAAACTGTTGTTTATATGAACTTACAACCAATCAAAATCCTTCATGATGCTGATCAACCAATCAGATTTCCCGTCCACCAGATGGACGGGAATCCCACAGTTTAGATAGGTTTTGTGTCAGGCCCTATTCTGTGATTAGGGCCTGAACTTCAGGTTAGCCGTTTCACTCCCCTCTTTATTTTTTATTATTTCTCCCCCGTATTTTAAATTTCGGATCTTTCTCGGTCGCCCTTCGGAGTATCATCGTGTAACATAAATTAATGTCAAAGATGAACATAAATTATTGCACCTGCGATAAGCTAATAATATATACCGCTTTCAACATTCAAAATGGCGCCCGATGAAAATTGAAAACATTTACATGTAATTAAAAGGTTAGTATAAATTTACACAAATATTTCTGGCGTGCTCCCTTGATTAAACGAGGCATAAAATAATATGAAACTAAATTTCACGCTGTAATGAACAGTAAAATATTAACTGATCAGCATATATTTAAATATTTAGTAAAAACAAATACAGCAATTTAATTTATTTAGCAAATATTTAAAATTTTAGGAAACTGCAGATGTTACTCGAGATAGCAATATCGTTATTTGTGAGCTGGATTTTGTGGTCTATTATTTCAAACTACTTTCGAAGAAGAAAAATGCCGCCTGGTCCATATCCATTACCATTGGTAGGAAATGCTTTGAACGTTGGCAATGAACCTCCCTTCTCAATGGAACATCTACGTGAAAACTATGGAGATATTTATACAGTAACTTTTCCTATTGGGACGTTCGTCATTGTGAATTATGGAGAATTTCTCCAGGAGGCACTTGTAAGCAAGAAGGATGACTTTGCTGGTCGACCGGATGCCGCATTCTTCCCACTAAATTCGATATTTGAAGGTAAATAGTTGTTCCGCATTAGCCGTGCGATCTAGATTCAAGAAACTGCGTAGATGTTGTTGCATAATATCATATTATCGGTCCTAACAGCCTGTAAAAGATAAAAATGTGGGTACAATAATCCCCGAGGGTACCAATTCCGCTTGGGTATTTACACCAGATCATGTGAGAACATAGCGAAGTGCCAAGTCATCCTCCTCGTGGACGTTCAACATGAGCTCGACCGAGCTCGACCTTTGAATTTACTATATGCATGAGTAAATTGTTAAACACTTCCGAATTTATTAATACAATAAGGCGAGACTTTTTTTATTTATTGGTTTACGGATTTGACTTTAAAAATAAGAGGTCGGTAGGTCGGAAAAAAGTTTAAAAAAAAACCGAACAGAGTATAAATGAGAACCGAAATTAATAATCTTTATAAAAATTTTTAACGTCAATTTAAAAAAAAAACACGCAAAAATCGTGGCTAATCTACATATATATTGATTGTCATAACGATAACATGAGCCAGCAGTACCTAGAGTCAAAGTTCACTTGAAATGTCAGAACCCCAAATTAATTAAAATTAACTAAAATTGTAAATTTCCAATTTTTTTTTTATTTTTCACTTTCTGAATATTTACGGTCGGCGGATCCGTAAACCAATGAATAAAAAAAGTCTCGCCTAATAGCATAGTTGCCCGGGATTCTTTTGTTTCAACAGGGTCGATTACTAACTAATCGCCCGCTGTAGCCGGCGATTAGTTCTAATCGCCCGTTGGCAAGGGTCACACCCTTTGTCTCCCTGCCGACTACGCATTAGGCAAGTGCTCACGCACATAATCGTACAAGGAACAGCAACAGTTAGCTCAGAGCCGTCAATAGTCTATTATCCGATCCCCGAGTTGTTGCATCATTTAAATTACGCACGTGCAGTCTCCGATTTTATACTAATATATTTAACGTTTTTGTTGTGGTACGTTAAATGATAGATTGCGCATGCGTAACCAATTAAAGCGTAAAAAGTGCGCATGTGCAACAAGCTTTTACATCCCACAAGCAAAAAAGCAAATGTTCTAGCTTAAATTCGCTGATTGCAAGCAGGGCATGTTTGTCCATTTTTAAATGGGAGCGCAACTATGCTATTACAAACTAAATTAACTAATAGCATGGCTTTTCGGGAGATTAGTGATTAAATGACCCCTTACCCTCGGCAGGTTTGAAGAATTCCCTCGGGCTTCGCCCTCGGTGTCTCTGGTTACGGGGCCATTTAGTCACTAATCTCCCTCAAGCCATGCTATTACCTAAATACGCGACCCCACACAAACCACAAGCATATTAGACAAGACTTTAGCGTATAAAGGTAATGGCCTTAGAGGGGAGGCTGCACGCGTAGGGACGGGATACTTATAAAAAAGAGGTCGTGAGATTTAGTCTACAGCGCGAGAACAAGGGCAGATTTCGTGCCCGACCAATCAGCGCATTTGTTTACATTTTCGCTCTCAGCCAATCATAATGCAGGAAACGCGAAATTTACACCAAGGCGAACTAGAAAATATTGCCGTCTTCTCGGGCTTCCGTGACATTCAATTTTAACTTTTTTAATTTTAAACCAAAAGATTATAATATAGCACGTTAAAATCTAAAACTTTGCAGTGGGCATTTTTAAATTTCGACCTAGAACGGAAAATATCCATGTTTGAAATTTTTTGTCCGACCGGTTTAATTTGCAGAAAATCAGTCTCTCTAAACGCGTTATCTTCTAGATTAAAAAATTACATTGACCAAAACGATTTTCAACAAGAGCGGAAAAGAGTTTTCCAACAAAAACGTAAAGCATGCAGAGAAAATATATCAATTTTTAGTTTTATTGCTGTCAAATTAGATTACTCAAACATGGATATTTTCCGCTCTAGGTCGAAATTTAAAAATGCCCACTGCAAAGTTTTAATGTGCTTTATCGTAATCTTTTGGTTTTAAATTTAAAAAGTTAAAATTGAATGTCACGGAATCCCGAGAAGACGGCAAAATTTTCTAGTTCGCCTTGGTGTAAATTTCGCGTTTCTTGCATTATGATTGGCTGGGAGCAAAAATGTAAACAAATGCGCTGATTGGCTGAGCACCAAATCTGCCCTTGTTCAGCGCGAGTACAAACCGAACTAGAGTAGACTGGCTGAGACCAAGCTCGTGATTGGCTAAGATAAAAAAATTTTTTTATCATATGTCTCCCGAGATGTATTGTATTTCTAAAAAATCCATAAATGATAACATTTAACATTAGCATAAATTTAACACTCCTACATGTAGTATTTTGTTCTTTGACCGCATTAAAACAAGGGAACACGGGCACCAAAACCATTTACGGAAAAAGTTAATAAATTACGATACATTAATGGGAAAGTTTGTGAAAAAAGGTATGGAATTGTGTAAAATGTTGGAAAATGCCCCACCCCCCCCCTCCCCTAGCTGCAAGTACTGTCAATCGTGAAACAAGGACGACAACATGAATTTTGTCAAAGACAAACGTACTTCCAGTGATAAACATTTCAATCTCGATTGTATACTTACTTGCTTTGTTCGGTTTTAGGCCCACTTCTCTTCTCGTTGTTTTTCGCGCCTGTAGAAGATGTGATCCGCGCTCTCATGGCCTATTTGTTATGATGTAATGCTGACGATACACAACTTTATATAAAAATTAGTTCACCTACCAAACTTCCATCGATGGTGAACGAGCTTCGGCTCTGAATCAAAGACATCCTAAATTGGTAGTTCGAATGGTCTGAATCCAGAGAAAACAGACATTATTAATTTTCAATCACAGTTCTCTAATATGTGGCTTGACCAATATCTAATTCACATAAAAGCTAGTCGGCTTAAAGGAAAAATATTTTTATCGTATTTTCGAGCAAACTGTTTGTCGGCAACACTGTTTTTGCGCTCCCTATAGCCCCTACGCCCCGAACCCATTTATCAAAGTGTTTTTTTTGTGTGTTTTTTTCGAAGTTTTTTGTTTGTTTGTTTTTTGTTTGTTTTTTTATCAACGTTTTACCTGACATAAAGTGACATCATAAAATAAAATAAAATTAATAAATCCTATTGCAGTTATAAAATAAAATAAATAAATCCAAAATACAGTTACTGAGGAAGCTTCTTTAAGTTAAGAGAGCTAGCTTAAGGAAGGGTGTTCCACATAAGCGTGACACTGTCGCGGAAAAGGATCGACCACCCTCGGTCTCACGAGGAAAACAGGCACAAACTAGACTGATATACAACCATACCTGTGAATGTCCATATTTGATTTGAGAAAGGCAGTCCCCCGAGAAGCGGTTGAAAACGAAACTGCATTTTTTTCTGTGTTGGTGTTGTGTACTCAGGTGACCGACCTAAACGGTAAATAACGTATTTATTTTTTTGTCGAAGACTCAGAGGCAAATGGCAACGTTTTTATTAGATTGCGCATATAGAAAACAAAACAATAAAAAAATTTTGATATTTAATTATTTTACTTTAGAAAACAAACAATCCAATTAAAATACAGTACAATTATTTTATCCATCATTAAAATTATTTCAAAATTACATATTCATATTTTTCAGTTTTAAAACAAACATACAAAAAATTTTGCTTTGCTTCGGCCATTACGTATAGGATTCCGGACCGTGGTCAAATATCGTAAAATTCCGCCCGCTGCTGCAGCCAATCAGATTGCAGAAAACGCTAGGATTCCGCCCGCTGCTGATTTACAAAAAAAATAAAAAGTGATATTTCGGAACAGAATCTAGTTCCTTCGATACCAATGTAATCTAGTAATATGATTTTTTTCTGTGTTGGTGCTGTGTACCAACACAACACCAACACAGAAAAAGTGTAATATGATTCTTTTTCTGTGTTGATTTTTTTCTGTTTTGGTGTTGTGTATGATTTTTTTTCTGTGTTGGTGTTGTGTACGTACCATTTATGACCTCGTCATAAAACGGTATCCAGTTTAGTTACTTGAATAGTTCAACACTGTTTGCCCTTATATATCAGCAGCTCCCAGGATCACACGCGCTGCGCGTTTTGGATTTTAAATACTTTGTTGATATTTTTTGTACAGGTCCATAGAGTACAGTTTCCTTTATCATGGCATTGTAGTACAATATGTGTTTTTCAGCACTGCTATTCTTTCAGACACCTTCGCATATAGCCGTGCTCGACGTTCTCATTGAAATTAAGAGACTGATCGAGTATTATGTCAGTATATGAATGACATAATTTACTTATTTTAAATGGACTTCAGTGACTGAAAATAGAATTCATTTTTTCTCATTCCGATAACTGTGGGTTAATTAACATATGTTGCACGAGAGTGCTTCTGAGGCACACCTATTAACAAGCATATCTCCTGTTTACTTTAAGGTAAAAATGTTCTTTTTGCTGACTATGGTCCGCCACTTATGTTCCGTCGCAAAGTTGTTTCTACAGCCCTTCATGTGTTCGGCAAGGGCATTGAAAATGTTGAAACACGGGTTTCTGATGAAGTCGATAGACTTGTAACTTGGATTGAAGCGAAGAATGGACAAGCATTTTCACCGCAATATCAAGTTACCTTTACCATTATGAACAACATAAGTGAATGGTTGTTATCAAAGAGATACGATTTGCACGATCCTATGGTCGAGAAACTTTTTGACTTTAACGAAAAATTACTCCAAGTCTCTCGCCAAGGTAGCTACTATCAATTCCTACCATTCATGAAATATTTACCAACGGAATTTATGAAAGAATACAGGGAAATAATAAAATTTCGAGAGGAATTTTTCACTTCCCATTTCAACTACCATCGCGGAACATACAACCCAAGTGTGGTACGAGATATCACTGACGCTCTCATTGCCGCCTACGAGACGGAAAAGGAGAGAGATCGTGGAAAAGACTTTGGAAAAATTGAAGACATTAAGTTTTTGATGATGGATATTCTACTTGCAACTACTGATACAACATCTTCTATAGTTACCTGGTTGATACTATTCATGGTTTTAAATGAAGAAGTTCAAGATAAAGTGTATAAAGAACTACTTGATGTGGTTGGTGAAGATCGCCCTCCATGTTGGAATGACATGCCTAACCTTCATTATCTGAAATCAACAATATGTGAAGTAATGAGACTTTCAGCATTTGGTCCTCTTGACGTTCCACACAAAGCCATTCGAGACTCAACAATAAACGGATACCATATTCCGAAAGGAACCACAATTCTTTTTAACTTTTGGAAGATTCATTTGGATCCTCGAGATTGGAAGGAGCCGCATTTGTTCAACCCAAAACGATTCCTTGACGAAAATGGGAAATTTGTCGGATGGGATGCTCTGAAATGTTTCAGACCATTTGGCGAAGGACGACGGATGTGTCTAGGCCATGCTTTGGGCAAGATGCAATTGTTGATTGTCGCTTCCAAACTGCTTTATCGTTTCAAGCTAAAAGTACCTCCAGGAAAACCCACACCAACCCTGGAGGGAACTATGTCTGCTGTAAGATATCCCAAGAAATATGATGTGGTTGCTATCAACAGACGACGATGATCAATCATTGCATTGACATTTTCTTACAAAGTAGTTTTGTGGCTTACGAGAGAACTTTTGACTATATTCAAACTATGAACAGAATATTTTGTAAGGAAATAAATATTTGAACGACTAACATTTTTCATTAATATTTTTTATCATTTTCTTGATTAGGTTATTCTGCGATCATTTATAAGATAAACATTGAAGTAAAAAACGTAACATTTCGTCTATTTTAAAAGGCTAGAAATTATTATCACAAAGGAAGTGCTGCCGAATTCGAAGCCTGTAAAAGACAATATATTGGCATGGATATTATATTAGCATGCATATTATATTAAAAGTTAATAATTATTATGTTCAACGGATATTTTAAAGATAAATGTGCCCTTGCAGATTGAAATGTGTGCGATTTCGTGACAACAACGAAAACTAATTACTATATGATCTTGGCACTCAACACTGACTATGAAACACACCATCTAACTTTTACAACCCTGTGGTTTTGTGCACTTATTCATTACCAGAATGTTGAAAATTGTAAAATTAACCAATTTGTACCTCTCAAGGATATTTTAACTATAAACAGTTTTGTTTATTAGGTGTGCAAACGTTTTGTAATTTTCAGCAGGGACTGTTTTTGACGTCGGTGCAGTTCAACAAAAAAATGTACAGTTCTAAAGTTGTGCAGTTCTTGAAACTCACAAATGCACATGCAGTTAACAAGTTAAAGAAAATATAAAACATAACATTATAATATGCTTGTAGTCTTCCTTGTGAATGCTACAGAAAATGTAAGCGTTATAAATTATGTATAAACAAATCACTTGCGTGCTGGGGCGGCGGACGGCAAAGGGTAAAATTGGGGCGAGCTCGAGAACTCAATATTCCTCGCTGACTGAAATGCAAATTTAAACATATATTGTCGAATATTTATGATTCTCCGTTACATGGCTTTAAACACTTTTTGTAGGTATAGTTGGGTTAGACAAATCTTCGCCAAAACTTCAGAGACTCTATAGATTTTAAAAATTTCTGGGGAAACATGCCCATGGAACACCTCCCTTCCAAAATCGAGTTTCTCTGGCCACCTATCCAAAGAACATATAACTTTTAACGTTAAAACTTTAATTCAGGTAAAAATTATTTTGATCCCCCCACCTCCCCCCGCAGCCGGTCAAATATCTGATGTTCGTAACATCCCTGTATGCGCATGCAGTTCAACACTTTTCTTAAAAAGAAAATACTTCATGCATGTTGGATGCAGATGGCATGGGAGTGTCCATGATGCAAAAGTGTTTGCAAATTAATATTTCAACAAGAAGCTGAACAATGGTCTACTTCCTGGCACAAGCAATTATTGCCAGATCATGTTGAAATTCCCAAACTCGTTTAATTGGGGATCTAGCCAATCCTCTTCCACTCATTTAATTGCGTGAAATAATGCCAAACATGCAAATAACAAACCAAGACAAGAGGTTGTATTTAATAACATGTTGTGGAAACCCAATACGGGCAATATAATGTGCATTTGGAATGCTTAAGGCTACAGTAGGTATACATGATCAGTATTCACAGAAAGGAAAGCGTTTCTTATACGTTGGCGCTGTGGACCACCGTGATTGAGGTCATTAGGTTGTGTACCCTCATATCTGCCGTACCAGTGTGTTCTAGTGCCTAAGTAAGTTTACGAAGTCATACCTTTGGTGTTATTTCAAGGTCATTATTCAAAAGTGGAAGCCGGATTAAATTCTGATTTTGCTCGATAACTGTATCACAAGAAAGATTCGTTCTTTTATGTAGTTGCTTTACAACAGCAGTTTTACGTGATACGCGACCACCTCGCACAAAAAGGTTGATAACGATAGTTGTTTTTACTCTTAGGCGTGGTCACTAATTCAATATCAGAAACGTCAACAAACCGCCAAATTCGATAACGACTGACGAATTTTATTATTGTACGCGATGACTCGTCGCATAAATTAGTCTTGGTATCAGTATATTACTACCATTTATAAGTAAAAACTATGATAACATATGGAGAAGGTCAAGGACGTAGCGAAGCATCCGAAGTTGGGGGGAGGGTGTCACAAGAGTTTATCTGAAATTTGAACTTCGATATTAAAAATTACCATCATGCAATGTGTACCAGTCACTAATAAGTAGTCATATGCTTTCGAAGCATCCGGAGTTGGGGGGAGGGTGTCAGAAGAGTTTATCTGAAATTTGAACTTCGATGTTAAAAACTACAATCATGCAATGTGTACCAGTCACTAATAAGTAATTTCACGAAGTTAGTATATGATGTTATTTCAAGGTCAGTCAATATTCAAACGTGCAAGGATTGCAAGATTCTGATTTTGCGCAATAACTGTATAACAAGAAATTAAAGTAAGTTCCTTTTTTATGTAGTCGCTGTCATTTGTCTTTAATTAAATAAGTTATGGAACGTTTTACAATAGATTTTATAATCTCCATTAGCGTTTGTTGTCTAGCCCAACCAGTGTTCCAGACTAGTTTATAACACATTTAAGTTCCTGCATGGTGCATGAGTCCTTTAAGTTAACACAAAGGAACATCTTTTAAACCAAACATCAAACTGCAGGAAAAACTAAGTTTGCTCTTAAAAGACAAGAAACGGGCCAGAAAGTCTGACCGCCAGACATCTGGAAAAAACAAACGACGTCAACAGGCTGAGCAGCTCATAAAACCCGGAAAGAAGAAGCTCTATACGAGACGAGAAGGGACAACCTGTGAGACTAATTCTAATGACAAAAAAATTAGGCTAAAGTTCCTGAAACCTGTCAGGAACAGCTCGAACAGTTGTTTAAAAACTTTAACAATTGTTTTCTCAAAATGTACATTTTCCGTCTTTGAGAAAAGATATCTCATCATGTATTTAATAACCAATTGTCCTGAAATTGTCAGGGCTAGTATTCTTTTATTAGAGCTGTCTTAAATGAGCATAGGTGATTCTGTATCTTAATTGTGTGGAATACATTTTATGACAAAAGATATTATCGAAAAAACGTATGTTAACTTTGTACCTCAGCTGTGACCATGCACTGGATTTATCATACAAAAAAGTTCTATGCTCATTTAAGATAATGATGCCTATACTACTTACTGATAAAATTTCTTAAAATTCCAAGCGATTTATATAGCTTTTCTCATATGCACCCTAGTTTCGCACAGCATGTGGTATGATTGCCGGCCTGGTGTCCCAGAGGAATAACTAAGCCAACTAAGCTTAATTGATAGCATATCAGTATTATTATTTATCAAGTCAAAAATTCTGATAACAATACATAGTCATGGTGTTTTCGTATATGTAGGTAATTTTTTAGTTAAACCCTTCAGGTTCAAAACAGAAGACACACTTAAGTGTCAACAAGTAAAATTCACGGTTAACAGAAAATATTTTAGTAGAATCACGTGCAGTAACAGTTAAAGATTTAGGTGAAATCACGCTTAACTGATAACCACATATAAATATCCTCAGTAAAGCACTGTTGAATTGTGCCCGAGGTTTTCAAACACAATCTAAATTGCACGAGTCTGAAGGACGAATTACAATATTATTTAGCAATTATTCGCCGAAGGCGAGGTGATTAGCGGGGAATATTCGCCGAGACAAAGTCGAGGTGAATATTCCCCGATAATCACCGAATAATTCTTTTAGTATTTTTTCACAAGTCTTTTGTTTTTTTGGACTGAACTAATTTATTTTAACTTCGCTTATTTCTTTGTTAGTATTACTTCCATAAAACAGCTAGCCGCCATTTTGAAAATTTCGGTTTTGTTTTGTTTTGTTTTGTCTTGTCTTGTCTTGTCCTGTCCTGTCCTGTCCTGTCCTGTCCTGTCCTGTCCTGTCCTGTCCTGTCCTGTCCTGTCCTGTCCTGTCCTGTCTTGTCTTGTCTTGTTTTGTTTTCAGGTTTTGTTTTCAGGTTTTGTTTTCAGGTTTTGTTTTGTTTTGTTTTCAGGTTTTGTTTTGTTTTCAGGTTTTGTTTTGTTTTCAGGTTTTGTTTTGTTTTCAGGTTTTGTTTTGTTTTCAGGTTTTGTTTTGTTTTCAGTTTTGTTTTGTTTTGTTTTGTTTTGTTTTGTTTTGTTTTGTTTTGTTTTGTTTTGTTTTGTTTTGTTTTGTTTTGTTTTGTTAAGCTTAATACGTCAAATTTGACCAATCAACGTGTAGGATTTGTTATGTTCACTTGTGCAAAAATACTAATACTGTATATTACGAATCCTATTCTCGATGAAGTGTCTCTGATATCATATGCATAGGCCATAAGTCAGAAGCAATGAATTGGAGTGCAATCATGAAAGACGGTACGGATCTTCGGATCTGGCGACTCCTCCACTGAAGCCTCCTAACTAGATTAAATGAGCTTGAAAACCAGTTCATTTCAGTAATTCCTTACGATTCAATATTTTCATTTCCTAGAAATAATAAAAATGTCTAAAGGTTTTCCAGAAAACATTAACTTCGCGAGTTTCTCGAAACAGCCCAATTTCCAAAATCGTTCAAATCAAGTTTGATTTCATTGTACTTTTTTAGAATGCAGCTTGAAGGTCAGGTCGCAATTATCACCGGCGGCGCAAGGGGAATTGGGAAAGCTATTGCTGAAGCATTACTTAAAGAGAAAGTTAAGGTCATATACTACTAACTATTAAAGGAAAAGTACTAAACCTCATCTAGTTTTGTAATTGAACCCAATGCATGCTATGGCCCTTCTCATAACCAGGGCATAATATTTTGTGTAAAAATAGTTCTTCTTATTTGCAGTTTACGATCCGGCGTATTAATAAACCACCAACAATTTAAATAAAAGTGTGTGACATTAACATGATCTATTTTAACTCTGGGTAAAGGGATACTTCACCCCCAGAACAAGTATCGCGTTCGAATTCTTGAAATTCATTCACGTTGAAACAAATATTCATTGGCCTCAATCCATTTATTTGCAATCCATATATTAACAATTCACTTCCTTTCACTATTCACTTCCTTCCTTTCACGACAAAATTAGTGAAAGAAAGTTAAATTTCTCGCAAACGAAATAAACTTGAGCGCGAGCGAATACACATTGCAACGTACGTAAGCTACAATCCTGGACAAAACCATCTGCGACACTCTATTAAAACATTCCTTTGTGGCTTTTTTTACCAGTTAGACCGGAATAATTTACTCGTTTGCCCCCCTCCGCCCCCCAAAACAATGTTGGACGTTTTATCCGTATTCTACGAATCCAATCAACATTGAATGGTGGGGGAAAGGGGGAGGTTTTCTAAATTTATGATAACATTACGATATTTTGTCAAGTATAATTGGAAGTGTCGCAGATGTTTTGTCCAGGATTGTCTGAGATGAGTCGAAATTACATTCTTTTATATTTCGCTTGTTATACATGTCCTTGCCATATATTTTGTTTATGCGCATTGCTCATGACCTACTTATATTCATAATTACATCAAGTACCTTATTTCATTAATTAAATACGTCATGAATACCTTAGTGTTTTGGAGGGGGTAATAATGTGTGGTAGAATATACAATACAGTATATTATTTTTAATTTTAGCAATTAAAAGCAACGAAATGTTGCGGAAATAATTGAGAAAGTAAAACTATCGCGTTCTAGTCGATTCGTTGCAATAATTCAGAAATTAAGAAATATATACGAGCCATATTTGTTAACTTTATATATATAAGACCTGCAAGACACAATAGACAACCTATAGTCGACCATGTGAGAAGGTGCCTAGACGGACATGCAAACGATCAGTGAATGAGATGCAATGTACGACACAAAAATATATTTCCATGAGAGTTCGTGCAACTTATATATTGATAGGTTATACATTCAGTCTATACATAGACGAATGTGTGTGGTATCCAGTAGAACTAAAGGACAATAAATTCAATATAGTTACCGCGTTTCTGGTATTCACTGCATATATTTAGAATATTAAGCGACAACTATATAATTGTGAATTATGCATTTTGACACAAGTTTTCCTGGTGTGGTAAATCAATGCTCATATTTTCCCAATGTCATACCTAACGGTGTACCACTGAAAAATACACTAAGACTGTGATAATATCCTCAGTTATGGGATATAATACAAACCAATGAAATGGACTTGAAAGAACGTGTGTTGCGTAGTATTCCAACCTACTTCAGACAATATTTAGCGCGATAATTTTAAAATACTCCACGGTGTACCATTTTCACCCTACAAAAGGTTATATATATATATATATTCTTATATGTTCACGGTGTACCATGGTACACCGCCAATGCGCATGCGCTATTATACGACAATAACAAAATCGGATTAGTCATTTAGTGCGGCGGTCACGCAATATATTTCCACTCAACAGCTAAGCGTTAGTCTGTCTAACAACACAAATAAGTATGGATAAACGCATTTTAGAATATTCTTAGTGCAAAATAGTTGGTATATACACTATGAGGTACATTGACTTGCTCTCCGACGTATATTAAATGCGCGAAAGTCGTCGCATATGATTCTTAATCGCATTCTATACAAGCTATCGCCTATCGCCGAGTCGAAGCATAGCGTTGCATGATGGTATTATATTACCTTGTTGACCATGTGGTATTTGCTTCTTGAAGCCTAATACATTATAGTGAGCCATAGTTACTACGGGAAGAGAAAGTCCTGCATAAAACACAATTGTTAATGCGCAATGCCTTGGTTATTGAATTTGAAAGATACAGACAATCCTGGACAAAACCATCTGCGACACTCTATTAAAACATTCCGTTGTGGCTTTTTTTACCAGTTAGACCGGAATAATTTACTCGTTTGCCCCCCTCCGCCCCCCAAAACAATGTTGGACGTTTTATCCGTATTCTACGAATCCAATCAACATTGAATGGTGGGGGAAAGGGGGAGGTTTTCTAAATTTATGATAACATTACGATATTTTGTCAAGTATAATTGGAAGTGTCGCAGATGTTTTGTCCAGGATTGTAGGTTCCTGTCTCATTCTAATTATGCGCGACCTGCTAAGGATGAGATTTTCTATCGACTAATTGGTTTATTGGTTTCCTCCAATCCTCCTTGGGCTGGTTGTTCGAAAACCAGTTAGCTTCCAATTCCTGGGTGTATTTTAATTCCAATTTTAAGGATGATGACGCATTCGCATATGGGAAGCCGAGTCTAGTGTCACCTGCAATATGACTTTGTCGTTGTTTGGGGATGGGGGGTACGGGTCAAGTTACCTGATTACCTGAGTGTTTCTTTCGAAAAAATATATTAGCATATTTGATAGGGGACTAAATCTTCTAGGGGGAAAATTTGGAACATTTTGACCCTCAGAAAGCCCAGAAATGCAACTAAAACTTTGCATTTTGCGTTCACTTTTATCCTCCACGTTTCCCTGTCAGTGCTTTTATAAGTTACCTGAAAATCAGCTTAAATTACCCAAAAATTTACCTGAAATTATCATGAATAAATATTGGGGAGGGGGGGAGGTTACACCCCCACACACCTCCGGTCGCTACTGCCCTATAACTAGAGCTGCGGTTGCCCTGTTGAACATAAATCTTCCCATCGGCCGGGCCCTTTAAGGCTATTTTCCATTACCGACGCTCGCGCGGGGGAAGCGAACAGTATTGAGCATTTGATCGCAATATGTTCACTAGCTTATAAAATTTATATCAACTATAAATGTGCTTTTTTCATTGTAGTTCCTTGTCAAATGAAGGTTTGGGACGCGCTGGTTTACGATATCGTTCTCCTCAAATGGTGGAAAACAATAAAAAGGTATTCTGTAAAGCATGGTTTTAACTATAGTGTGAGAGTTACTGACCCTACCCCCAAGTTTATTTTTACTTTCAGTGCCCTGCACCGGATATAGGATGGTGTCACGTGACGTCAAACTGTGAACACGTTGTTCAGAAGTGCGAGGGAAAATTGTAAAAACTTTCAAGTTGAAATAACAAAAATATTAATAATTTATCGTTGTTTTCTTTAATCGTTTGATCATTTAACATCGGTAACATTTTGGCGATCCTGCCAGGATGCCACTCGGGTTGTTTCACGCCGAATTGTGGCGTTCAAGAACGGAAAATTCCTGATTTTGGAGTGAATTGACGATCTGATATGGGCTTTTGATGGCCATTCTGCGAGAGTTAAACTTAAAATTTAATGTGATTTGTCGCTTAACTGGAGAGTAAAGACGTGATATTTCCATGGCTGTACGTTTGGTAAGAAAGTAAGTGTTGTTTTCTTACGATTTGAACGATTTCCGTGCAGTAAAAGAACATTTTTGACTGATATTTCGAAGAATTTGTTGTTGTTGCGTGTATTAAGTTCGAAGACGAAGTGTCATGGCCGAACAGTCAGAGATAGAGGAGCTTCAGCTGGCTCTAGAGTCTGAAATATGCGGACTGACTAAAGAGGAACTTATTAAAGTTGCAAAACTTGTTAATGTTAACACCGAAGGACTTCGAAAACTCCAAATTTCGAAAAGAATACGAGAGAAAATGGAGGCGGACATCGAAAAATCAGAGGATAAAAAGACTTTATTGGAAGAATTGAACAATGTAGTTGGTCTGGAACCACCACCGTTAGAGAATCCAAATGATAATACTGTAAATCAAGTTGAAAACGAGGGACAACAGGAAGAAGCTCAAGAAACTCAGCCTGAGCCTAAAGCAAAGGAGGCTGAAACTAAGGTTAATGTGGACATAGCCAAAGCATTTAAACGTGACTTTAAAATTTTTGGAACCATCAGTGGTGAAAGCCACAAAGATGGATTGTCTTTTGTCAGTCTTGTTCGACAAATTGACACTGGCATAAAATCTGGGTACAAGGAAACTGAAATAATTGAAGCAGTGATACGTGCAGTGAACCCTAGTTTAAAATTGCGCTCATACCTAGAAATGATGAGTGGGTTGTCCTTGTCTCGTTTGAAGCAAATTTTAAGGGCGCATTTCAAGGAAAAGTCTACAACAGAAATTTACCAGGAACTTGCACAATTGTGCCAAGTGCCCAAAGAATCTGCCCAAGATTTCCTGATCAGAGCAATGAACTTACGTCAACAGGTCATATTCTCATCACAACCAGTAGATAGCACTGTAAAGTATGAACCATCACTGGTTCAATCATTGTTCATTCATGTTGTCGAGACTGGGTTGCAACAAGAATCCATCCGAGCCAAACTACGCCCCCTCCTTGAGAAACCAAGTGTCAATGATGAGGAACTGATGGACAGAGTCAATCTAGTTGTTTCGGCTGAGACAGAGCGACAAAATAAAATGGGAGTGTTGGTTAAAAAGAGCCTACATGTCAACCAGATTAATAATAGCCCAGACTCTGCCCAGGAACCACAGAATCCAAAGATGAGAAAGAAAATCGGTAATGAAGAAAAGGAGTGCAAATCTAATAAGTTGGTCGCAGCCTTGGAAGCGGTACAGTCTGACCTAGCATCATTAAAGGAAGCTTTTAACAAGTCGCAGATATCCGGTAAAGATGCATCCAAACAAGATCCAGATCAGCGGAGCCAGTACAAGAGAAAGAGTACTTTGTGTAAGAAATGTCAATAGTCAGGTGAGGAGAAATGCATTCATTGTTACAAGTGTGGTTCGACAGAACATTTCGCTAAGGGGTGTAAAAAGCCCCAGGGAAACGAAAGGAGGCTACGCCCGGGAGTAGCTGAACAAACTCATTTGTCTCATGCCTGTGCATTCTGCAAAAGAAGAGACTGATATACTGTTTAATCAATGTAGTAAATGCAACTTTTCCAGTATTGTTCAAAAGTATGTCAAGAAAAACACTGGGGTGAACATAAATCCTTGTGCAAGGAACTATCGCACTTAAATGAACAAAACATTATAAATAGAGAAGTTAATAAAGGAACATACGTATGTCATTTGTCGCCTAAAGAAGGCGCAACTGTAGTTCGGTTAGTTGGGAAAAAATGCACTGTTAAATGTTTCCTGAATGGGGTGGAGTCGACCGCTCTTTGGGATACTGGAGCACAGCTAGGTAACCATAGTTTCTCATGATTGAGTCTTAAAGAACTTGCCTAAAGCTCAATTGCGTACTGTAGAGTCCCTTCTTGGGGCGAGTCAGCTAGATCTAAAAGCGGCCAATGGGACAGCCCTACCATATGATGGATGGATGGATGGATTGACATAGATTTTAAATTAATGGGGACAAATCATGATTATGGGATTAAAGTACCTTTCTTGGTTGCAAAGAATGTATTGGACTTACCTATCATTGAGTCACACAAAACTCTACCAGTGACACAGAACAACCACTTTATCTAGATGCACTGTCCTCAAGCATGGTTGGGGTGGAACGGGATAGGGTCGAAGCCCTTGTAGAGTTCCTAAAGGCTGAGAGGCCAACTGAGCTATCTGTACTTAAAACTACGAAAAGGGACATAGTTATTCCACCTGCCCAATCAGTCAGAGTTTCCTGCCATGTTATTGTTGGTCCTATCGAAGGCAGGATACCTGTGTTGTTCGAACCAAACCCAGAATGGCCATGGTCTGATGGTCTTGAAGTTCCAGAGACACTGACAACGATTTCCAGAGGATCATGAGTTAATATCCAAGTAAATAACCCCACTAGGCACCCAATTGTTTTGCGAAAGAGAACAGTGTTAGGTAGAATCCAATTGGTCAGGTCCATAACTACCGTGGAGGTGAAACAAGTTCAACAGACAATGGTAAAAGAAAGTGGACATTTTGGTGAAAAAACTAAAGTGGACATTGCCAGTGCTGTGAGTACCAAAGAGAGACAGGACTGTCCAGAACCTACCAATGAAGGTGCATCTAGTTACGTTCCAAACGTTGACCTTGAAGGACTTTCAAATGAACAAAAATTAATAGTACAAAAGATGTTACAAGAGGAGTCTGTATCATTCTCGAAAGCAGGGGAAATAGGGAACGCTAAAGGGTTACAAATGAATATCAATCTTACGGACTCGATCCCGGTACAAAAGACTTATACAGCTGTGCCGCGACGCCTTTACCCTGAAGTTAAACAATATGTAGAAGATCTTTTAAATAGGGGGTGGGTATGGAGGTCACGATCAGCCTATTCTTCATCAGTTGTCTGCGTGCGAAAGAAAGATGGGACACTTAGACTGTGTGTTGATTATAGACAGCTAAACCAGAAAACAGTCCCAGATCGACATCCCTTGCCTCGAGTTCAGGCTACACTGCAGAGTCTTGGCGGAAATAATTGGTTTTCAATGTTAGACCAAGGCAAAGCCTATCACCAAGGCTATATAAGTCGTGAGAGCCGGCACAAAACAGCATTCATTACTCCGTGGGGACTATTCGAATGGGTGCGCATCCCATTTGGTCTGATGAACGCCCCTGGAGAATTTCAGCGATTCATGGAAGATTGTCTGCACGATTTGAGGGATGAAATTTGCATCCCATACCTGGATGATGTGATTGTTTTCAGCAAGTCATTTGAAGAACATGTCGATCACGTTCGTCAAGTACTACAACGACTTCGAGCTAACGGAATAAAACTGAAACCAGAAAAGTGCAAGCTTTTTCAGAGAGAAGTGAACTATCTCGGACAGATTGTCTCGACAGAAGGTTATAGACCAGACCCCTCGAAAGTTAACGCTGTGACAGCCTTAAAAGACTCTGTGCCAACGAATGTAGAAGTACCAAAACTGCTTGGACTTGTTGGGTATTATCGAAGATACATTCCTGACTTTGCCCTAACTGCTCGACCTTTGTTTGACTAGTTACGAGGCCTACAAACCGATCAGACCAAGCCCGCTAATAGAGGAGATAAATCCAAGAAAACTGGACTCGTACCATCATCAAAACCAGTTGTATGGTAGAAACAACATGAAAATGCCCTTAAAGAATTGTTAGAACACTTAGTAAGCCCACCAATCATGGGGTACCCCGACTACAATCAACCATTTATATTACACACGAACGCTTCGTTAGAAGGATTAGGGGCGGTGTTATACCAGAAACAAAATGGTCAGATGCGCGTATTGGGATATGGGTCAAGATCCCTTAGCCAAGCAGAAAAGAAGTACCATTCTGGGAAACTGGAGTTTCTAGCCCTGAAGTGGGCAGTCTGCGAACATTTCTGTGACCATCTTTATTATGCCCCTCATTTCACTGTGTACACTGGTAACCCACTTACGTAAGTGTTGACAACAGCCAGGTTGAACGCAACGGGTCACCGATGGGTTGCTGAGTTAGCGGACTTCACGTTCAACATAAAATACAGACCAGGACGTTCAAACGGAGATGCGGCTGCACTCTCGCGAATGCCACTGGATTTTACGACTTATATGAAAGAATCTACTGAAGATCTGACCCTAGGCCAGGTTCAGGCAAGCGTTGATGGGATTGGGGCGCAATGTCACGGTGACACTGTTTGGATCTCTGCACTTACGCACGACGAAGATCTCTTGGAGACTGACAGTGAATTTCTCGCAGAAGATCAACCTGCCATCGCGAAAGCTACAATCCTTCAGGCCCAGAAGCAAGACCAAACAATTGGCAGAGAACTAGCTTTCAAGTTGGAGGTACGACGTCCGTCACATGAAGATTGCAAACGAGAACTACCTGGTAGAAAAGCATTGCTACGACAATGGCACAAGCTAAAAATTGGAAAAGACGGTTTACTGCGACGAGAAAGTGGACCATATAAACAATCAGTATTGCCAGGAAAGTTCCATCGAACAATTTTCAAGGAACTTCATCAAGAAATAGGGCACTTGGGAGCAAAAAGGGTGGTACAGCTATAGCCAGGGAGCGGTTCTACTTGCCTAACATGGAAAAGGACATCACCCATTTCGTGGCAAATGTTTGCGGATGTTTAAAACAACGGAAACCTACTTTGCAAGCCCGTGTACCGCTCTGCAATATAGAAACCTCGTCACCATTCGAACTTGTCTCGATTGACTATATGCACCTAGAGAAAAGCTCCGGTGGTTATGAATATATACTGGTCATCGTAGACCGCTTTACCCGTTTTGCCCAAGCATACGCGACCAAGAACAAGTCGAGTACAACAGCCGCTGAAAAACTGTACAATGACTTTGTACTCCGATTTGGCTTCCGAGCAAAGATTTTGCATGACCAAGGCAGATAATTCGAAAATAAACTGTTCCATCAGCTAGAGAAACTAAGTGGAGTTCAACGAATTAGAACTACTCCCTACCATCCTCAAACGAATGGGAAAGCTGAACGGTTCAACAGAACATTGTTGTCCATGTTGCGAAACTTACCCGAAGATAGAAAGAGTAAATGGAAGGAAGGACTCAGTAAACAAAGTGGTACATGCATATAAATGCACTGTTAACGACGCCACCGGGTATTCGCCGTTCTTCTTACTGTTTGGTCGACTACCCAGACTACCCGTGGACCTTATGTTTGGAACATCGCGCACTGCATCGAAAGGAAACCACACTGAGTATGTGAAAAGATGGAAGGGTGCCATGAAAGATGCCTACGCGAAAGCCATAAGCAACGCCAGTAAAGCTGCATCTGCAGGAAAGTCGAACTACGACCGTAAAGTCCGTTTCACAGTATTGGAGCCAGGTGATCGTGTACTGGTGACCAGTACGCAACCTTACTGAGCGTGGGGGTCCCGGAAAGCTGAGATCCTACTGGGAGAACCAAATATACCAAGTAGTGGAACAAAAAGGCGAGCTACCTGTATTTGTTGTCAAACCAGAAGGTGGTGCCAAAGGACGGTCCCGAGTACTTCACAGAAACCTTCTACTCCCTTGTGACTTTTTACCACCAGATGCCCCCGGAGACGTCCACCCAGTAGCACAACAGCAACAGAGAAAGAGAAATGACGAACGACAGGACAACACTCGTATATCTGACTATGACGATATAGGCCGTATTCTGTGGCACGAAAAGTCGCTTAGAAAACGAATTCCGTTGCCCGGGTTCGGGCACTACTTTGAAACAAGATAAATAATTAGGAAAAATTATACAAAGTCCAAATCCGCTTGTTTGCACTTCCCAAAACCTGCAGTTTTCGAGTATTTCTTCTTCGAAAATTGAAGAAATCGACATCTTTCGCAATCGATCGCCGCCATTTTTGTTCAGGATACTTGGTGTAATAAACACTCTAAATGCCGATTTTCGCGGGCTCATGCTCATTCTTACATGAAGTTTCCAGCTTAGCTTTTGTAAACATGGCGTCTTCTGATTCATGTTTAATTCATTTTGATGGGGAAAAAGGCCCACTTACAAGTTTTAGTGTGGTTTCGTATCAAAAATTTTTAGATTGTCGTAGAATTTGGCTAACGCTAGACGGGGAAGAACGCAATGTTGCTCAAAGAAGTTTGCAATTTGTTAGCGACAGCATGGAAGTAGCACGGTCGAAAATATCGATGCAAATTCTCTTTATATCATTGAAGTTGTTACTCGGCATTCACAAATAGCAGTATGATCAACCGAGCTCAAGAGCGTTGTCAGAATATGGACAAAGAAGGTGTACCTTCATCCTCTGGTCTCCATATTATTGATGAAGAAACGGAATCAGATGAAACTGAGAAACTCCACCTGTAAAGAAAATGCTGAGATCTACACACGTAAAAATCTCACAACTTGTCAACAAGATGTGTTCGCAACAGACATGTAGCAAGCTTGTCAACAAGTTGTAAAAATTCTGTTACTTTATACAAGCTTGTCACTCACAACTTGTTGACAAATTGTTGAATTGCTGTTGGAACAACTTGTAACAAGTCTGTTGATTTTGACAACCTTGTAGCAAGTTGTCAACAAGCTGTTGACAACTTGTCAACAAGCTGGGAACAAGCAGTGCGAACACATTTTTATATGTATACCCTGAGTTCACCTACACATGTAAAAACGCACAGCTTATAACAAGTCTGCAAACAAGTTGTTACAAGTCTGTTCACAAGCTGTCAACAAGTTGTCTTCACACTGCTTGTTCCCAGTTTGTTGTAACAAGTTTGAAACAAGCTGTTAACAATTTGTAACAAGCTTGATGGCATTATCAGCCTTGTTACAAGACTGTGCTAACAAGTTTGTTGCAACCATGATATAGCAAGGATGTTACAAGGTTGTCAACACAAGGTTATAACAATCTTGTTATATCAAGCATGTAACAGACTTGTCAGAACAACCTTGCAACAAGTCTGATAACTTCGACAAGGTTGTTACAAGTTGTTCCAAACCTGATAACAACTTGTGACAAGCAGTGCGAATACATCTTGTTGACGGCTTGTTGGCAGACTTGTTACAAGATGTGAGAATTTTACGTGTGTACAAGTGCGGCAGCTAAATCATGGAATCTCCACTTGTTGCAATTTTGCAAATCAGAAAAGTCATATTTTACTGAGTCGGTAAGTTTATTGATTTATTAATATTTTTTCTAATATGTGTTTTGTAATTATATATTGATTGCATTGCCTTTAGCTACTAACATTATAATGGTTGTGTGATTTCTATGCATGGGTTTTTATTATTTAGGACAAAATGGTGTCTGTGGAAACAGTAGGTGGTAAACTGAAAGAAGCTGCAACAAAGAAAGCTGATGAAAGTATTTTGATTCAAATTGCTGATAAGGACCTAGCATTGAAAGTGGAATACCATAAACAATGTTATAAAAAGTACATGTGTAAAAGGTTTCCACAACTTGTTTTCCATAGACCAAAGTTATGAAACAACAGTGAAATTGTTTATGCAGAGTGCCTCAGTCAAGAAAAAGTTTTATGGATGATGACATAGAAACATCTCAGAGTTCACACAAGAGTCTGATTCTGATGTTGACATTGTAACGAAAACATCAACATACACAAGTGCAACATTTAAGAGAAATGTATACAGTTGACCTAACATTGATAAACAACTTGCATAATTGTACATCAGCTTGGTACAAGAACTGGCCACCACATGCATCAGATATTACTGGAATAATGTTGATGTGTTGATAGGTGCCTGTGCAACAGCTGAATCATATGCCATTACCAAAGATTGTGAGAGACAATGTCCAAAACCACTCAAAATCTTAAATATCAGGCCAGAACAACCAAACATCTGCCGAACGGTCATTGCTAGTGCTAGGGACTTGGGTATCTGTACTTTCCCCCTATTAGAAATATAGACCAAATTTTGACACAGAGAAAAATCTTTGATGTAGTTTGGTCATCTAATTCAATGTAGTCAGCATCTTCTGGGTGATCTGAAAACCCAAGCACATGCATGCCATAAAATTAAACAAGAGAGGTGATACTAATGTTTTAACCAGTAATATCTGATGCATGTGGTGGCCAGTTCTTGTACCAAGCAGATGTACAATGTTTTGCAACAGTCTTTACAAGTTGTTTTTCAATGTTAGGCCAACTATATTAATTGTCTGTATACATTTCTTTCAGTCTTACACTTGTATACTGTACGTGGATGCTTTCAATGTCAATTTGAATCAAAATACTTTCATCAACTTTCTTTGTTGCAGCTTCTTTCAGTTTACCACCATCTACTGTTTTCACAGATATAATTTTGTCCAGCTTTCGCTTTTTCGACTTCTAAACAATAAAAACCCATGCATATAAATCACACAACCGTTATAACGGGAGCGACTAAAGGCAATGCAATCAATATATATAAATTATAAAACACATATTAGAAAAATAACAATAATTGTGAAAAAATAAATCAATAAACTTACCGATTCAGTAAAATACGACTTTTCTGATTAGCAAATTATACAAACGCTAAACGCATGGCAACAAGTGGGGATTGCTTCCATGATTTAGCTGCCGCACAGGCCCGCACTCGTATTCATCTGATGCCGTTTCTTCATCAATAATATGGAGACCAGAGGATGAAGGTACACCTTCTTTGTCCCTATTCTGACAACGCTCTTGAGCTCGGTTGATCATACTGCTATTTGTGAATGCCGAGTAACAACCTCGATGATATTAAGAGAAATTTGCATCGATATTTTATTTATTTTCGACCGTGCTACTTCCATGCTGTCGCTAACAAACCGCAAACATCTTTGAGCAACATTGCGTTCTTCCCCATCTAGCATTAGCCAAATTCTACGACAATCTAAAATTTTTTGACACGAAACCACACTAAAACTTGTAAGTGGGCCTTTTTTCCCATCAAAATGAATTAAACATGAATCAGAAGACGCCATGTTTACAAATGCTAAGCTGGAAACTTCATGTAAGAATGAGCATGAGCCCGCGAAAATCGTCATTTAGAGTGTTTATTACACCAAGTATCCTGAACAAAAATGGCGGCGATCGATTGCGAAAGATGTCGATTTCTTCAATTTTCGAAGAAGAAATACTCGAAAACTGCAGGTTTTGGGAAGTGCAAACAAGCGGATTTAAACTTTCTATAATTTATCCTAATTATTTATCTTGTTTCAAAGTAGTGCCCGAACCCGGGCAACGGAACTGAACGATATCGTGCCACAGAATACGGCCTATACATTTCGTATCCAATTTTTCTTGAAAAAAACGGAATTTATTTAGTACAAATGAAGAATTTAGTACATCTTACCGATAAAAAGAAGTGTTTCTTCTTGATAAAGAATTGTGGCATCATGAAGCTATGCAAAAACTCGGCATTTTTTCTTGATGTGTTTTTTTATATAAACTTTCAGCAGAGCTTCAGGCTTTTTTCAAAAACCAGGGGGGTGAAATTGTCGTCTGAAGCCGAGGATCGCGGTTGGCCAGTGGTAATTACCACGAGGATTTGGGACCAGTGGCGTCATTCTGGCGTCAGCAAACGTGAAAATCCGCCATGTTTCTGGCTTCACTTGCTTGACTGAAGAGAGATAGGAGCACCTCCTCCAGTAATGTAGTATAGCTCAGTGGTTTCAACTCTCCGCATTTCATACGAGGCCCGAGTTTTTACATGTCTATATTTATGATTTTCTTTATAGGGATATTTCAATTTAACTGTCGTTGCTCAATTTATGTCACGAAATTTAGTTATACAACTATATTTTATTTTTTCTATGACTGTAGCCAGTATAGGCAGACACGTTATTTTATAAATAACATAAAATATAATATCTTCGTCTAGTATATCATGTAATATCATGTCTATATTAGTATATATAAATGTTTGTCTAGTTCCGCATTTATAGCACGCTCGTCTATATATTAAATATATAATTTCAACCCTAATCTATCTTTATATGAAAATTAATCTGCTATAAAAGCATAGTCATATAAACACAGCATTTTTCTGATATAAAAATATAATTTGCGTGCTGTATAGTCTCGTACAGTCAGTGAACAGACCGTACCTTCAATCGGTGTGGCAGAATTTGACAAATGTTGTAATATTGTTTTAATTATTCATTTGAATAAGGCCCGCATATTGTAGCATGTGCACATGAAGACAGCCGCAATGAGTTTTATTAATATGGATAGTACTTTTCCATTATAGCAATCGATTTTCCAGCGGTGAAAAACATAGTTTTGTTAAAAATATTATAGCCCTGACAACTATATCTTAAATTTAAATAATGCGATAAAATAAACAAACAAAGTTGTTTTATGAATTATGGCTCTATTTAGAATAGTTGTCTGGGGCTATACTATTTTTAAAAAAAAATATTTTTCCATTA